ATTTATATATGTAAATATAGTTATATATATTGTGTGTGAATATTTTTTCTTACACATCTGGAGCATGTTTTGTGATGTATTGTCCTCATTGTTGTAATGAACTATAGAAATGATCCCTGAAAGTATAGTCTTTGTCCACATTGTTGTGAGTATTTGAATAATGTCTATTTACTAATCCTGTTTGGCTCATGTGTATTATCTGTAGTGTGTGTGTGTGTGTGTGTGTGTGTGTGTACATGCTGGTCCTGGGACTTGAACTCTGGGCCTAGGCACTGTCCCTGAGCTTTTGTGCTCTACTCCTTGAACCACAGCTCTACTGCCAGCTTTTTGGTGGTTAATTGGAGAAAAGAGTCTCATAGCCGGTGCCAGTGGTTCACACCTGTAATCCTAGCTACTCAGGAGGCTGAGATATGAGGATCATGGTTCAAAGCCAGCCCTGACAGGAAAGTCTGTGAGACTCTTATCTCCAATAAACCACTAGAAAACTGGAAGTGGTGCTGTGGCTCAAGCAGTAGAGTGCTCACCTTGAGCTGAAGAGCACAGGGACAGCACCCAAACCCAGAGTTCAAGCCTCACGACTGACCAAAAAAAAAAAAAGAGTCTTATAGACTTTACCACTTGGGCTGGCTTTGAACCATGATCCTCAGATCTCAGCCTCCTGAGTAGCTAGGATTAGAGGTATGAGCCACCAGCTCCTGGCTGGAAACTTGTACTACTTTTGAATCTCCAGTTGTTTTACCCTTTGCCTTTCTCATTCAGTTGCATTATACTAAAGCATGATCTGTATAATTTTTATGGGGCTTTTTGGAATTTTTTTGAATTTTCATGATTTCTGCTCAATGTTAGATCAGCACTTAAAGTTTAATAAGTATTTTCAGAGTTGAATGTTCATCAGTATGGAGAAGTACATCTGTAACCTCAGCATTTAGGAAGCTGAGGCAAAGTCCCAAGTTTGAGGCCAACCTGACTTGCAAGTGAGACCTTGTATTCATTGTACCTGGATGGGTGGATGGTGTGATTGCGTATATGTTCAATGTGTAGCTATTAAATCATGCCTGTTTAATTTTATGATTTGATTCCTCAGTTTCCTTATTAGTTTTTGCCTTGACCTATCAGAGGATATACCAAAAGTCCCCACCATAATTATAATTTTATAGACTCCTACTTAGCAATAGTTTTATTTTATTTTATTTTTATTTTTCTTGGTCGTGGGGCTTAGCTCTGGGCCTGGGTGCTGTCCCTGAGCTCTTCAGCTCAAGGCTAACCACTTGAGCCATAGCGCCACTTCCTGGTTTTTATTTTAGAGTTACATGTTATAAAATATTTTTTCTTTGATGTCTCTGAGTTTTACTTGATGATTTTATTCTTCCCTCACCATGTTTTTTGTTCTGATACTTGAGGGCTGTTTCCACATTTTCAGCTCTGAGCATGGCACAGGACCAGTGGCTCCCCCGCACCCCCATCTCAGACTATGTTCTTTGGCTTAGAACTTACAACACAGTGGAAAGTCCCACATTTGCTTTCCTCTCAAGTCCAGCCAGCAGTTGTGAACGGGGGTGGCTCTGCCTCCCACACTCAGCACAGTGTGGGTTCGGGGACCCTCGCTGTCCCTGGCGTTCTGGCCTGTGGAGGGGAAAAGCTCAGGAGAACCCAGGGAACCTGGCTCCATTCCCACCGTGTCATCCATGTGTCTCTGATGACTGCATGAGAGACTGGCTGGGGCTTCTGAGCTGTGCTGTGGCTGCTTAGCCAGGTTCGGATAGAGACAGAGTCATTCCCGAATCAAATCTCCCTGCACTAAAATGCAGAAAGTTGATTTTCTGCGGTTCTGATTGGCCAAGTTGGAAGCTTGAAAGAGACCTAGAGAAGACAGCGCCGGCATTGGGGAAACTTCCTGCAGCATGGATCTTTCTTCCCTTGGGTCACTGGGGTGCTGGTCTGCCTTGCTGAATCAGTTCTGTCAGCCACTGGGTGGTACTTTGGGCCACTTGCATGCAAGTCCTTGTCCCCACACCCACCCCTCCGGGCTGAGTCAGGCTACGTGACCCTTCCTGCACCTTGGTTTTTCCCTATGTGACAGACTGAGCACCCTGGTTTCTAGGCCTTAGCTTCATTTTTCTACTGCTTTGGTCATTTTCAACAGGACCTTGTACCATGTCCGACTGAGCTACATCAGGGGCTCTGGGGGTGCTAGGTGCCACAGGGGAACAGAGGGAGTGAGAGGAGGCAACTGCAAGTTAAGTGAGTGAAGCAGTAGAAACCACAGCCCTGCTGAGTGCTTGAGGACTTACAAGGGGCTCTTTGCCCAGGCTGAGAGGTCAAGGGAGGCATCCTGGAGCAGTGGGGCCTCGGGTGTGTCTGAAGGAGGAGGAGTGGGTTCTTGAGGGAAAGCCGGAGAGGGGCTTCCATCTGAGACGCCATGTGGCACGCCCCCTGGTGGAAAGAGGTGGTGCTGCAGGGGTGGGATTGCATGCAGTCTGTTGGAGAGGGGCGAGGGTGAGCACATGGAAGCCACTTAGGAGGTGCCACAGGGAGAGGTGGTGGATGAGGATGGTCATGGGGGTGGTGAGAGAGACGGTAAACACACCAGCCGGAGTCCTGAGTTACTTGTCTATCAGTCTCACAATCCTGAGTTCAGAAGGAGCTAAACTTCTAGCCATCAAATCATTCAATGATTTAAAATCATTCCGCAGCAATGTGCCGCTTCTCATCTCAGCAGAGGAAAAGGGCAGTATTGACTGAGCCTGTGCCCTGCAGTATAGAGGTTGACACTTGGTTTGTATTTGTTATGTAGACAAATGAGTGAATCTGTGACTGGCTATCAGCTCTTCTCCCTCACGGTAGGTAGCTACAGTCCAGCCACCCTGTACTTCAGAAGTGATGAGTGAAGGCTGTCCTCCCTCTCCCTTTGATTCTCCTGTGAGACAGTATGAACTGGTTGTAGGGCCCAGTGCAGCACCGTAAGTGACCACAGCATCACACCCAGATCCTCTGCTGCCCCTCCACTGTAACGTGGGGGCAGGTGTGCAGCAGCAAGGAAAACCTTGACTGACACGTCTTCACTGCCCTCCGAGAATGACAGCCTTGACCCTGGAGGCCTAAATGTATCTGGCTTCTAAAGAATTGGCCTCTACTGAGATCTGAGGATCACCATTCAAAGTTTACCTAGATGGACAAATCTGAGAGACTTTTATCTCCAGTTAACCAGCAAAAAGCCCGAACTGGAGGTGGGCTCTAGTGGTAGAGTGCCAGTAGCTAGTTAAAAAGCCAAGTGAGAGCACAGGGTCCTGAGTTCAAACCCCAGTACACACACACACACACACACACACACACACACACACACACACACACACACACACAGAACTGGCCTCTGTAAAGTTATAGAGCAACCTATGAGATCGTCAGCTGCAGTTTCTGCCTCCACGTTGCCCTCAGCTTTGATAATTTACTAGAAAGACTTACAGGAGCTGTTGAGCTCACTTATGGCTTGTGACAGCCAAAGGACACAAAGTCAGATCAGCCTGGGGCAGAGTACAGGGCCCGCAGGTGGCCTGTCTTGTGGAGTCCTGGGCAGTGTTGGCTTCCCCAGCAATGACGTGTGACACTGAAACACTTCAATCAGAGTGGCTCACTAAGTCATGGGAGCCAGGGCAACTGGACATAGTGGCCACTCCCATCCTGGCCCTTAGCTGACCACAGGCACAGTTACACAGTGTGACCTCAGGCCCACCGTAAGTCACAGTGCTGTATGCCCAAAGTCCCTCAGTACAGACTCATCAGAACATTCCCCACTGGGGCTCTGAAGCTTCCTCCCAGAAGCCAAAGGCAAAACTAGTGCTCTGTTTGGACAAGGCAAAATTCTTCTGCTACCCTCAGTTTAGCAACAGTGTAGGATCTACTGCCAGACATTACCTTGCAGGTGGAAGATAAAAGTGATAAAATGGATTAAAAACTTGATCTTAGCTAGGCACTGATGTCTTACACCTGTAATCCTAGCTACTCAAGAGGCTGAGATCTGACGACCATGGTTCAAAGCCGGGAAGGGCAGGAAACTTCATGAGACTCTTATCTCCAACTGACCACCAAAAAGCTGGAAGTGGAGCCATGGCTCAAGTCATAGAGTGCCAGCCTTGAGCAAAATTGCTCAGGGAAAGTGTCCAGGCCCTGAGTTCAAGTCCCAGTGTGCACAAAAAGTACCTGTAACAATGGGTTCTGACAGATGACCCTCCTGAAATCACCACAAGGGGACTGAGACAGCAGAGCTCTAAGCTGGCCAGATATAAGGATTTCCTGGAGTTCAAGTGGCGGGAAGCAATCCCTGGCCAAGTTCATTCCCACATGAATCTGGGATGTGGAAATTGTTGGCAGATCTTTGCTGCAACTTGTGGGTATAAATTTAAACGATTCTTTTAAAAATAGGTCATTTTTCCAAGTCGCTTGTGAGGAATTTTAGAAGTGACATCCCCTCCATTCCCTTCCAGTCACCTCTTCCTAGCATGGAGCCATTTGCCAGTGTCACTTTGCCAACACTCAGACTGCCTGTCATGGAAACATTTTTTTGGCCTTTCAGAAACTGTTTAAAATTGAATGAAGCACAGAGCTTTCTCTGACGCTGGCTGGAGTTCATGCACTCACTCTTTCCCCAAAAGGCGAATGAATTTGAGACATGGCTTTGGCCATCCATGAGCTGCTGTTTGTCTTAAGACTGTTTTTCCAGGGGCATCTCTATTGCTTTTCAGTTGTGGAGAACCTTCAGGTTTAGATTCCATGCTGGTGTTTCCCATTCATGAAGGCTGGGTAGGCCTCTTCCCAGACAGCTAAGGCCCTGGGCCCACTGGCTGTGAAGAGCTTTGGGAGCTTTGTAAGCTGGTAGAGCTAAAAAGGACTTGGCTTCAAGGTGGAGGGTGGGAGATGAGCACTAGCTGGTGTTACAGGAGCAGACAGAAGGGGCATTGCGTATGGCAGCCCAGTTACCTAACTGAGCACTCTTCTCTCCCTAGCTTATTTCCAGTGATGCGGATGGAGCCATCCAAAGGGCAGGAAGATTCAGAGTGGAAAATGGCTCTTCCGATGAGGTAAGAGTACTCCCCAATTCCTGGATCATCACCAAGCACAGGACTGTAGCACCAACCAGTTTATAACCCTTGTGACCACAGATGACTTGCCTAAATGGAGTTCTGGAAGGGGTAAATAGAGCTTTGCTTGAAGCAGGTAAGAGGAGAGGAGTGTTACCACCAGCATGGAAGGTGCTAGTAATTGGGTAATACAATCCTTTAAAAGATCTATCATAGAACCAGGTAGATACACAAAGTTGTTCTGACAGCACAGAACCTTTTGGGGTCCCAACTCCTCTCTCCACTTTGCCAGACTGCTCAGCAGGGCACTGCCATATGAACAGGTCTAGGGTCTAGGAGGGAACTGCACAAAAGTTCTGACCATAAACTTTGTCTTCACTCTGAGGATATAATTAATGATGGTTGTTGTTATGGTAACCACTGCCATATTGCCACCATGGCTTTCCTGACCACTTCCAGTAGCGAATTCTATAGATTAAACTTGAAAGGCCACAGGATTTGAGAAGTCATTACTCACCTTCCCCTTGGGCCTGAGCCCTTGCCATTCCTGATCTGGGCTAGTCCCTGAATAGGTGCCCCCTCATTCCACCAGAATGCTGTCAGCTGCCCCACTCACTCCCATGCTCACGGCAGCCCTTTCTCCCCGTGTGGCCTAGCTCCTGAGAGGGGACCGTATCCCCACCACCACCACCACCATACACAGCAGGCTGCCTGCCTCCCTCCCTGCTGAGCCAGGCACAGAAGCATCAAGCCCTGTTTTTTTTTTAGGGTTCCAAAAGCCAGCAGCCACCATGCTGTCTCTCCTGGGAGACCTAAGCTCTGTGGCCGCTGGGACACTGGCCTGCTGCCACCAGTTGTGCAGAATGTCAACTTGGCACAGGATGACACTGCACCACCTGCCCCCAAGCCACCTAAGCAGAGCCCTGGCCCCCACTGGGACCTGGGTCTGCAGGAAAGGACATAAACAGAGCCATCATGTGGTACTGGGGCCACCCTATACTTTGTCACAAAACACGGCTCACTTGGTTGTCACCTGGCTCTGCCACACACCAGGACAGGTTTTAGGTCCTGGCTGGGTTGTGGTCGGAGTGGCTCTGGAGTGTGATACCGTGCACCATGCACTGGCTGCTGGAACCACATGGAAAGGTGCTGATTCCACCCATCTCTGCGGACAGGCCTGGCTCCTACTGCTCTTTGGAATACTGATCCTGGGATCAAATGCTGTCTTAGATTCTATTTCCACCAAAGCCATTAAGCATGAGTTCTCAACTGAAGCACCCTGCTTAGGCTCATGGTGATGGTCCTTAGTTATAAGCTCCTGGCCTTTTACCCAGTCTGAGACAAGACCTAAAGGCACTTGACACACAAAGGAAAAGAAATTGGTTTGTCTGGGTCAGAGCAGTTAGTAGAACAGAAGATTCAATACAACAGCCTGACTTGGTGGCACACATCTGTAATCCCAGCTACTCAAGAGGCAGAAGCAGGAAGATTGTGAATTTATGTCCAAAGCAAAGTTATCAAGACCCTTCCTCAAAAGCAAAATAAAAATGAAAAGGTCTAGGGGCATAGCTTGTTTTAATACCTAGTACTACCAAAGAAGGGGGAGAGGAGGAGGAGGAAGAGGGGGAGGAGAAAGAGGAGGAAGAAGAAAGGGAGGATCAAACAATTTTAAAATTTCAAGCCAGGTGCTGGTGACTCACATCTGTCATCCTAGCTACTCTGGAGGCTGAGATCTGAGGATCAAGATTCAAAGCCAGCCCAGGCAAGAAAGTCTGTGAGACTGTTATCTCCAGTTCACCACCAGAAATGCCAGAAATGGAGCTGTGTAGCTCAAGTGGTAGAGTGCTAGGCTTGAGCAAAAAAAATCTAAGGGATAGCATCCAGGTCCCGAATTCAAGCCCCAGGACCAGCACCAGAAAAATAAAATAAAAACCTATTTTCTTTCAAATTCATGAATGAATTGCAAAGCAACTTCAGTATTGGGTTAATTGTCCTGTTATTTTCAATTATGAGTCCTTTACAAGCACGGCTCCGAGTACTCTAGTACTGACAACAAGAATTTTTTTAAAGACCTTTGTAAGTCTACATATTAGACTCTTCTGAGACACCTGATTTTTCAGACATTTTCTCCCTTTCTGTGGATTTTTTTCCTTTCTTGATGTGTCCTTTGAAGCACAGCTGTCTTAGATTTGATTGTGTCCAGGCTTCCGAGAGTGAGAAACCACTACCTGCTTAGCCAGAGGGGCTTGGTCACGTCTTACACTGCTGTCCTCTTCACATAACTTCAGCTTTTTGTTTGTTTGTTTGCTTGCTTTTAGCATTGTCTGTCTAATCCTTTTATTCTCTGGAGAATGCTCATTTCAATCTCTGAGGGGTTCCGTGGTTCTCTGTTCTCGTCCAAACCCTTCTCCCTTTTTTCCTCTCCCTTCTCCCTCCCCCTCTCCTCCCTCTTCTCTTCCCTTCCTCTTCCTCCTCTCCCTCTCTCTTTCTGCCTCTCTTTTTCCAGCTGAGTGTGATTTTTTTAATGTGCTTGGATTCATAGTTATATGATATTCTTAAATTTTAATTTTTAGGAATAATATAAGGTCTGTAAGGAGTTATAAACCCTTTTGATATAGAGGGTTTTAGTTTGCTTTTGCTAGCTGCCTTTAAGCTATTCTTTTGTGTGTGTGGCGGGGGGGGGGGGGGGGGGGGGAGTAGAGGGGTGGTCCAGGACTGAAACTCAAACTCAATACCTGATGCTTTCATTCTTTGGCTAGTGCTCTACCAACTGAGCCACACCTCCACCCACTGCCTTTAAACTAAATGCTTAGCTTGAGACCTTCAGTCTTCTGGGTGGAGCTGCAGATTCCTGGCAAAGCCACTGGTGGTCACCAGAGCACAGAGGAGCTGCTGTACGTACACCATGGTGTCTAATCATCTCGGGGTGAACTCTTCTGCTGAGTGCATAATTCAGCATCCCAGCTGCACACAGGCTGTGTCTCCTGCTCCATGTACCTGCTAAAGTGCACCTAAGCATTTGAGACTGCCCTCTTACACCACAACCCCCTCCTCCAGCCCCATAATTGGCTAGAAGGACTCACAGTACTCATCATCACTGGCTTATTATCAATAGTGTAACTGAGGAGCATTCATCGGGAGCCTTGTGCGTGGTAAGGGGCGGGGGCTGGTGAGACCCTCTCCCAGCTGCCGTGTCCTCATCAGAGTGTCCACTGGCCAGGGTTCCATGAGCCCCCAGGCATTAGCTTAGGGGGCTTCAGAGGTGTCACAGGCGTTAGTGACCAACTTGTTCTCCAGCAACCAGTCCCCATCCCAAGGCTACCAAGAGCCACCTGCTTAGAACAAAAGGGTTCCTGTCACCCTTCCCACCTGGAAAATGCCACAGGGTTTGTCTAGGCGCTCTATGTCAGGAACCAGGGTTCAAAATCAAATGCGTATTTCCTGTTATTCCACATCCCTATGCAAAAAAAAAATATCTCCCTTTCAGAATCTAATTGCTAGGACGTTCTTTCCACTGAACAGAACTTGCCTAATTATATTTTCCACTCAGAATTCCTATTTTTGTTCTCTGTGGCCCCTGCTGTCAGCAGAGCCCTCTGCCAGATGACAAACCTTCTAGCATCCATCCTATCCTCATTACTGGTCCTCACACGTGTGAGATCACATGAATCTCTTCATTATCTTATTGTAAACATTTATAAATAGTCACCCATATTAACCCTTCTGTAGACTACTCCCTCTCTACTGGTTTCTTGTCCAGTGTCTGCAATTTTGGTAATAATTGTAAAAAGTGAGTGGGTACTTCCCAAGTGCATACTGTGTAACAGAGTTTTGATTGGAAAATTATTTCTTTTTAGCTGACATAATAATTATGCATCTTTATTGGCTACAATGGAAATTTTGATTCTATATATCTCATATAATGATCAAGTTGGGATGGTTTATCAAGGTGATGAACCTTTTCTGTGTTTATCTTTTGTGGCTTGTTTACAGTGTTGGGGGTCAAACCTTGGGGCTCATGCATACTAGGCAGGTGTTACCATTGAGCCATACCCCTCACACACCCTGAACCCTTCAAATGAGGTCTGAATGCAGAGTTTCAGGTATGCTGCACACCATTACTGGAGAGCTGGCCTGTCCACCTCCTTGCTGGAAATCCCAGTCTCCATTACAAAGTCTACCATGCACTGCCTCCCCAGTCCCAGGCTGTATCTGGTGATTGTCATTTTCACATGAGGTCACATCTTGATATAGTGGAGATCCTGGGGTTACACAGAGCTCGGGACACCCTCACCTGCATGGTGTTTCATGGCAGAGCAGAAGAGACAATACCCCGATTTTTACAGATCTCTTGGTTAGCACAGGGAGGATTTTCTCATACACTATTGGGGAATAGGGAAATTTGTTCAGTCTTTTGGGAGGGCAATTAGCAATAACTAAAAATATTAAATGCCATTTGGCCAGCAGTTCTGTTTCCTGTGTATTGCAGCAATATTTAAAATAGGACAAAGAACTGGAAACAACCTCAGTTTCTAGCAGTTGAGAAATGATGGTATAAATTAGGGTCCTCTACACACTGGAATGCTTGCTTAGTCTAGCTTTTGGAAAGAATGAAGAGGAACTGAGAACAGTGACTCATGCCTGTAATCATAGCTACTTAGGAAGTAGATATTGGGGGAATCAAAGTTCAAGTCCACCCCAGGCAAATAAGTTCACAGGCCTCCATCTTGTCCAATGGCTGAGTGTGATAGAACATGCCTGTCATTCCAGTGGCATGGAGAAACGTGTTTAGGGGGATCAAATACTGGCAAAGGCATAAAGCAAGACTCTATTCAAAATAACCAACACACACACACACACACACACACACACGCACGAAGAGGGACTGATAGAATGGCTCAAGTGGTAGAGCACCTGACTTAGTACTGAAAAGAAAAAAGTGTATGTACCACCACAGAAAGACATTTAAGTTACAGCACTGGACATAAAGGAGAATTGCA